ATACAACCAACACAAAGTACCTCCTGTGCGTGTGAGATCAATAGCTCAGCTGTTCTGCATCCCCAATCTCCCTCCCCTGCTTCTCCCCTTTCGCTGTGCCTGCTACGCTTTTACAAGAAGTGCCCTCCCGCACTTCTGCAACCATCCTCCAAACTATGGCCTTACACTTCTCCTATCCATTCCTATCCATTAGTACTTTCTTTGTTACCATCGTTCTCACATATGCTGGGTGAACATTCAAAACACATTCTCTTTCTGGACATTCTTCTGGTTTATTGCTCATAATTCAATAGGCAGCTGATCAAAGGCAACTTTACCCTAGTGCACCTGAAACAGACTTCTTTCCTCTCTTCCAAGCCAAGTTAGTCTCCTAATTTCCCATCTTTTAAAAATAAATCCAACCAGGCAACAGTGGCTCACACCTGTAATCCTAGCTACTAAGGAGGCAGAGTTCAGGAGGACAGCAGTTCAAAGCCAGCTCAGGCAAATAGTTCATGAGACCCTATGTCAAAAACACCTAACACAAAAAGGGATAGCGAAGTAGCTCAAGGTGAAAGCCCTGAGTTCAAGCCCCAGTACCGCAAAAAAATAAAATAAAATAAAAAATAAATCCATAATTTTTCAGTCCTTGGATCATAAAAATTCAAAATCATTCTTGGTGTATCCCTCTCTCTGACTTCTAGTCCAAATCAAAATGACAATTAGACAATATCATCGTACAGCTGCTAAAAAAAATTTCACTCAAGTTCTTTTTCTTCATTTTTACTAGAAAGTCAATAGATTTGAAAAAAATGTTATGAAACAGTTTTGAGACAAGTGGGAAATAAAAGAGCAATGTTTGAAAATTACCCTGACTATGGACTTTGAATCTTGGTCTCCTCTTCGGATTCTATCCTCTTCCTATGTGGAACTTGGAACTTCACTTTTCTTTCTAGTGGTACCATTTGTCTATATATAAATAACATATTGTTTGGTTTTACATGTCTGTAAACTTTAAAGGACAGGAATCATACCTTTATTTATTTTTCTGCAATTTGCTTACTTCCCTCAATATGATTTCCACATGGTTCAACTCTGTTGGTGAGCACAGCGATAATTCATTCCCTTCTGGGAATGCAGAGTATCCTGTTGTATCAATGGTCCCAACACATTTGCCTTGTCTACTGTTGATAAGTATTTAGGATCATATCAAATTTTCACTATTACAATCACTGTTGCTATAAATGCTGTTGTATATTTCTCCTATTCCTGGGCAATCTCTAAGATACCAAACACTGGAATTATTAGATAGTAGGATAAGTGGTTCTTTAACCAGCTAACGCCATATCATTTTCCAAAAAAGATGTGTTGGTTAATTGTGTCACCTTAGTGAGTGTTTTTGGATGAGACTATCATTTAAATCAGTGAATTTCGAGTAGGCAGATTGTCCTTCAATCGTTGAAGGCCTGAATACAACAAAAAGACAGCCCTCCCTAAGCAAGAGGGAATCCTCTGACAGCTTGGGACTTTCTCTGTGTCATCAGCTCCCCAGGGTCTCCCATGCAGCAGATCTGGACCTCCTAACTCCACAATTGCATGCACCAGTTCCTTATATTAAACTCTTTCTGCGTATATACTTATCCTATTGGTTCTGTTTCTCTGAAGAACCCTGACTAATATAATAGAAATACCAAATTACACTTTTACCGGCAGTGCTTAAGTATTCCAGCTTATAGAATCCTATTTGTTTAGCCTGATCTTAACATCTTCCCATCCTACAGGCTGCAACTAATTAAATCTTCCAGGAAGTGAAAAACAAATTGGATTGTTTGTCTCCCTCTAAAAATGTTCAGCGATATTCCATGGTCTACATTACTGAAGTTCAGACTCCATCCAGCACATTAAAGTCCAGGCTTTGCTAACTTCCCAGGTTCATCTTTAGCATTCTACTGCCCTGATGGGCTGCAATTTCATTTTTGAACATAGAATCTACTGTACAAAAATCTTACCTGAGACCCCAAAAAATCACATGTTGACTCCTTTGCTGATGCAGGCAAGGAGAAGTCCCACACTCACAGGCTATTCCTCAATCTTGAGGCCACCTCTTGTGGAGTGAACCAAACAGTAGGGCACTGCAACCTACTGAATACAGCCATTCCTTTTCCCCTGAATGAACTTTACACTTCCACTGCGCTCTTCTCTCTGCCATAAGCAAGACGCTCCACTCTCTCTTCCTTCTCTCCTTCCCTCATCACAGCCTCTGTATTAAAAACCATTTCCCATTCCGCAAGGTCCATCATGACTTTTCTGTACCTTGAGCTGCCCTGATTCATTCTGCTGGAGTCAAGTTTTTCTCTGCTTTGCTTCTGGCCTTTGAGAAACATCAACAGGGTTTTCCCTGCACTGAGTCTCGGGAGTTAGTTACCAACCCAAATCTAGTGTCTTCAGCTGGGTGATGGAAAATGCACCTCTGCATGGTTTTTCATAAGTATTAAGTGAAACATTTGGTTGCTTCATATAAAATAGGTACCCAGTAAAAGTTAGGCAGTAGAATATTTGGAGTGGGTCACCCTTAGAAAGGGGATTATTTCTATAAATAGAATTGCATTTATTTTCACTGACTACGAAGGCCAGAGATACAGGGGAGACAGTGGTTTTGCCAGGACCCTGCTTCCATCACAAACTCTGCCATAAAATGACTGTCTTGAAATGTTATCTCCAAAGTCACCTCAGCATATTTTCCCATGAACTAGGTAAAATAAATGCAGCGATTGTTACTGTTAAATTGTCTAAATTTGTTGGTAGTTAAGAAATATATGTTCTGAAACTAGCACATATTTTTAAAGAATTTTGGACTGATAGTACCATTTAGCCAAAACAAGACATCCAATTTGCTCAACTCTAGGCTAAAGCTTGAGGGGAAGGAGGAAGGAAAGGATATGTAATGGCCAATATCTACTCCTTTGACAGTCCAGGGGGCTCATGTCCCCAGGCTGTCGCTTGCTATCTAATTACAACTTTACCCAATGGGACACATATAGAGCTTGAAGCCCCAGAAAAGTCATTAGACCTCTCTACATCTCAGTGTTCTCACCTGTAAAATCAGGGTAAAGTCCACATTCAAGTGAGCAGTGTAGGTTAAATTAAAAAATCTCTATAGGACACTGGAGTAAAATTCATCATCCATACAAAGCAGCACAGAGAACAGGTGGCACAATTCCTTCATCCATTTGAATTTCTTAAAATGTATTATAAAAATTAATGTTAAATAGATAATCAACTCCTCCTTTATATTATACAAAAATGCAATATTTATAGACCCTAGTATGTTGCTAATAAAGCACAAAAGGAAAATTTTAGGTAAAATTTTTGAAATAAAACTAGCATAGTGTTTAAACTTGCTCTCATCTTAAGGTGAAAAAAAAATGTAGCATTCCAAATCTCAATAGGGTAGAGGATCCTAGCTTCCCATTCCATCAATATAGTCTTCAAAAATATAAATAATCAAAACAATAAAAAACAGCAACAAAACATGCTACAGGATAGCATCACTATTCAAGCCAGGTGAAGAGTGAGCACCCATTTTTCTGACTAGCAATTAAATGAACATTTCACCTTTGATTTAAAAAAAGTAAAGATTCAGAGGTTTTCCTTTCCTAACCTAAAAAATAAGAGGTGAAATAAATCTGAATGATAGAAATATGAAAATATTTCCCAAACTGTTCATGCACGGTGCTAAAAATCCTTCCTTCGTGCAGCAGTCATCTGGACAATTGAGCTCCATACTCCATCCTTAGCTCCCAGAAAAGGCCAAGCAATGTGTTTTCAGTTGGTTGCCCTTTGACAGACATCAAAATACCTGACTTGTGACCAAAATTGCAAAAACTGGCCATGCAAGACAAAGAAGGGACACCCCTTTGAGCCCCAAATCACATGTGGAATGATTTACCTTATTTCAAGATTCTTATTAATTCACTCCTTCAATTGAAAGATTGGTCAAAAGTGAACTATAAACTAAAAGCTTGCAAATAAACCGAACAGATGTCTGCACACAGCAGAAAATGGATTCTTGCGAGGCAAAATGAAGTCTTTAATAAGTAAGTGTTTGGTTAAATAAATTTTGTGAATTGATACCCTATAAGCCTTTTCCATATACAAAATTAGCCTTTAGTTTATCTGTACCCAAGAAAAGGGGAAACCAACATGAGCCACCAGCACCCAGCAATACCTTCAATTCTTGATGACCATGGGCCTAGTTCTTTAAACTAGGCTTAATTTAAAGATTTTTAAATGGTTCCTTGAACTATTCAACAAAGAGAGTAGCATTATTAATTTCATTTATTTTCAGGAATCTGAGATTCAGAGACAATGAGCCATTGACACAAAGCTGTACAGAAAATAACAGCTGCAAAACCCAAGCTTTTTCCATATACCATGCTCACTCCATTTGGCCAATATTAGAAGACCAAACCACATTCACTGGTAGATACAGCAGAAAATGGCCTAAGAAATCATTAGACTCTTTCTGGTATGATAGCTAATGGTTTCTGAAGAAAAAATCCTCTCTAGCCACATGTAGATGGGGTGAAAGATGGAACCGATATTTGAACCCTGACTAGGAGTCACTAATAATTTCAAATTAAGACCATGTGGAGAGGACTCCCAATATCCAGGGGTTGAAGTGAGTGCTCAGTGCCTAGCAAAAAAAAATGATACTACACCACTGGATAAAGCAAAGAAAGGGGAGGAGGGGCTCCTGGCCCTTAAGTCCACATGGTGCCAACATCAATTTAGGTGAAATGTGAGAAACATTTCTACCCAGAACTGACAGCACATTAAGAAAAATGGAATTGCCTCACAGTATCACTCCTTTGAAACAATGGCATCATAGAATCTAGCAACAGAATTGGGGACTACAATGGAATTGTGACTACAAGGTTAGGATCAAAGTGGGCTTCTACATGGGCATTATAGAATTAAATATTGCAGGTGGATGAAAGGAAAATAAAACTTGCACTTACCTGCCTGGATCACCCGTGTTGTCTTTTCCCAAGTTCCATGTGGGAAAATGTGAAAAAAGCAGGAATAGATGCCAAGGTCAGCTTCAGAGGCATTATAAAAGGAAAGGGTAATAACGTTGGGAGCCATTGTTGAGTTTACATAGTAAACCCTATCAGCATAGGGCTTCCTTATTTGTATACCAAAAGCAGGGCTAAAGATGCCTATGGGATCTTTCTGCATCCCAATGATCTTGAACCACTCCAGCTGGGTTAAGGTTTCAGTCAATGGATACGCACATTCTAGGATCATATTCTCAGTAAGTTTAACAGTCGTGTCCCAAAATATCTCTTCACCTAGAGCTGAAATATACAACACCACACAAATTCAATTAGACCTGATGATGAAAACAACAAATAAATAAAATTTCCAAGACCAAACGTACAATAAATTGAGAACATGGTGAAGGCTGACAGTTTCTATTGCTGACAGTTGACATTTGAAACTTTTAGTTTTTCTGAACAAGTGAGAAATCATCTAAGAAGTTCTGCAAGACCAAAAAGAAGCAAAACTTGTAAATGAAGACATAAAGATTAGCTTTTACCTTTCTGTACATGAAGAATAGCCAAAAGGAAAGTAAGATAATTCATCTCTGGAAAACCGTCTGGAAGGCTGGTCTATAAAAAAAAAAAAATTGTATAGTGTTACATGCACAGCCCAGCACGATGCACTGTTTCCTTCCTCCCAGATTTTATCAGCTGCATCTTCTCTTTTTGAAGTATGAGCACAGGAAAGAGGTCTTAGCTTCAAAAGCAGGTTTGCTCTCTCACAAGGATGGGCAGCTTTGCGTATTTCTCTCTGGGAAATAGCTTATTTTCAAGATCTCATTTTCTACAAAGATTCATTCATTCAAAAAACATCATCTGTATGGCTCTGTTCTAGGCAGGGAGGATAAAACAATACAGTTTAAAAATCTCTTGCCTTCATGGAACTTACATTCTAGTGAGAGGAAATAGAAACTAAAATTAAGAGATTAAAACAAAATACATAATAAGTTAAAGGTGGTAAGTGCTTAAGAAAAATAAAGCAGGAATGTGGTGGTGCATCTTGTTAGATGGGAAGATCCAAGAAGTCCTCGCTGGGCTGAGATCAGAACAGAGAATGAGGGTTAGTGGGAGGAGACTTGTGGCACCCACAGCCCCTCAGGTGTGGCCGTCTTGCCATCTATATCACTGGGCTAGATAGCATCAGGAATTTGTTTTGGCTGTGATCAACAGACCATGGAAGGCCACCCAAAGAATGGCAGCCTAAGGCACATTCTATCATATTTCTAGACTTTTAACTTTTTATTTTGAAAGAACTGTAGAGTCACAAGGAGTTACAAAGATAGTTCAGAGAGATCCAGTGCACCCTTCAACCAAATTTCCCCAATGGTTACATCATCATCCAACTATAACACAACATCAAAACAGGATTCATTTGTTTGGGGTCTCAATCCTCTCTTCTCTTGTAAAACAACCATTCTAATTCTTAAGACTTTGTGAGGGATATTTAACATGTCAGAATAAAAAATTATAACTCTATAAAAAGAGGAACTGCATACCACTTGGTTCTCCTGGTAGAGTCAAAACTAAAAAGGTAGTAAAAATTGAGAAAAGGGGAGCAGGAATCACTGAAGATAATTCTGCCTAATGCAAACTTTGAATTTTATGTGTGATTCAGTTCAAAAGATTATCAATGACTCCAAATCAATAGTTGATGTGGGAATGTTTTCAGAAATATGAAATACACAATGTAAGGAGAATCAAATTCAATTATAATGTACACTTGTGATAATGTATGTTTAAATAGCATTCTATTTTCCATAAAGTTTTCACATCTATGATATTATCTGTCCCTCTAATCATTTTACTAGAAACTAGAGCTTTCTTGTAACTCTATTTATAAGTAACTCAATGCAACAATTACCCTAAATTTTGCTACTTTAAGCTGGGTGCCCTGCTCCCTTGGAAATACAAACATGAGTAAACCATGGTCTTTGTCCACAAGAGATACATAACATAATAGACAGAAAGACTTAAAAGGAAATGTGTGGCAATAAACTTGATAATTTCTATACAAATTATTTGATGAGGTTTTTGACACCCTAAAGAGGGAACAATTCATTCTAATTAATTTGGGAAAAGTTTCATAGACAAAGTGGGAGGAGACAAAAATGTGCCCACAAAGAACATTTTCAGGAAATGGTGTGACTACAGTCTAAGTGTGAAACTATAGTCTAAGAGGTGTGACTAGAGTCTAGATCTGTGACTACAGATGAGGGGTGCTTCCTAATCTAAGGGTGTGACTGCAGCCTGGTAGCATAATTGCATAACTATAGTCTAGGGATGTAAATAAAGTCTAGTGATATGGCTACAATCTAAGAATGTCACTATAGTTGTGGGGTGTGACTACAGTGTAAGGATATGACTATAGTCTAGAAAGTAAAGAAGTGACCAAAAATGAAGTTGAGTCTGGGTTGAAAAGTGTCTTTTATGACGTACATAAGAAATTGAACTTGGTGATTAGAAACCACGGACTCTTGCTTACATTTGCTCCAGCACTGAGCACAGTTCCTGGGACACAGTAGGCTCTCAGTAACATTTCTTATGTAAACACAAGTATGGAAGTAACATGGAGCCTTTTATTATCTTATGAATCTAAATGTAGACATTTTTACAGTTTTTGAAAGATAACTTTGGTCACTGTGGAGAATGGAGAAGAACTTGAGAAAATATGAGTTGAAAAATTCATTTTATTCATCAGACCTTAATTACAAGACTTTATCTGAACAGGCACCAACAAAAAGAAGACTATAAAACCTGAGTTAGACCAAGCTCCAAGAATTCCTACCTCCTCAAAACAGGGTCCTACAAACTGCTCTCATGTACTCACTATATCCTGTCCCAGACCTATGTGCCTTCACACACACCCCTCACATAGCCACTCACCCACACTCATGTTCACAAGCATGCACTCACACATATCACCCATTCATTTATGCATGCTCTCACATACATTCATATCCACACATCCACTCACACGTGCTCACAGTTGCACACATGCACATACTCATACATACATGTGCTTGCCTCACACATGCTTATACTCACACACCTGCACACACACTGTCCCCACATACACACACACACACACACTTTCTCACATATACACACAAACACATGCTGTGCCTGGAGTGATTTTGTAACACACAGTGTGGTGCACAAAATCCAAAACACTCAATCTTTGCAGAAACAGTCTTCCAATCCCTAGTCTAGGTAGAATAAACAGACATTGCACAAACAAATATAGAAACAAATGCATACTTACAAAATGCACTTTTTTTTTACAAAAACTTATTTTTACAAAATGATGTTATGAAGAAAAAGAATTTCATGTTGGCACAAGAGAGAGTAATGAGGTCAGCAGCTGATCCAAGACCTGCTTTAGGAATTATGGCTGGGAAAGGTTTCCACAGGAAGTCATCTGTGTGCTGAAACCTGAAGAACCAGGAGGAATTAGCCAGGTGAAAAGTACAGCCAGGTGCAAGAACAAGCATTCCAGTAGATAGGAGAACAGGCTCCAAGTCAGACAGTGGGAGTTTGTCAAAGTTGTTGTAACTGGGACAATGAAGAGGAAATGGGGACAGTAAATGACAGGATATTAGACTGTGTAAACAGATGTAAGATTATGTTTGCCTTTGTGGGCTTCTAATATGATTTTAAGAGCAACTGAAGTCACCAGATTGATTGTTTTAAATTCATAGAAGAGTAACTCAACTTCACCCATTTCCCATTCCACACTTCTACAGAAGTTTGACTTTGTTTGGGTTCTACTCATTTCCCAGCACAGGGATATTAAGAAAAACCTAAGCTATTCCACTGACAACTGTGTCTGATTTGGAGGGAGGGATGGAGAGGACAAACATGGCCTGAATTTATCCCATCAGAATGAAAGAATTTATTGACATTCCTTACCAAGAAAAGAGGTTATCTCTCACTCACCCATTAAATGTGAAGAAGAAAGAATTCTTCCTCAGTGACTACAGGTGGCCATCTTGAAGGAAATTAGCTTGAAGACAAATAGGATGGCAGAAGATGGGAATAAACTTGGGTCTCAGGTGACATCATTGACCTACTGAATCTATCAACTCTGAGGTTTGAAATATGTAGTGATACAATAAATTTCCATGTTTTATAAGCCAGTTATGAAGATTCTATTACCTGCATCCACATGCATCTGAACTAGTACAATGGTTCTGGCTGCTATATGAAGATAAGTTTGGAAAGGAGCAGCATAGGTATCAAACTATTAGAAATTATTATTGTGATCCAACCAAGATAGAAAGTGGCCTGGACTAACATAATTTCTATGAAAATAATGATAAATGAACCAACTGCAGGAGATTACCCATTATCAAAGAGAGATACAATAATGGGAATCCTTAACTATGTGTCCTAGGCAAGGTTCAGTCAGGACAACATGCCTATGAATTCAAAGGAGGGTACTTTCTAGTTTATAGGAGAAAAAACAAAAAAGACTGGTAGCAAGACAGGTCAAATAAGAGCATTAAGAAAAATCTATTTCTGCCCTTAGGGTTGGAGCGTCCAGGAAGAAATAGGACTGCACACCATGGAAGTTGCTCATTAAAGCTACCTTAGAAGAGAAGAAATCCTTCCTGAAACATGGGAAAAGGTCAAAGAATGAACTTGTCAGAAAAAAAAAAAGACAAGTAACAGATAGGGAAGCTGTGATCAGAGAATTTAAAGTACTAATAGTGAAAGATAACTAAGAAAAACCCATGGTTAACATCATACTAAATGGTGAAAGTCCACTGAGATTAGGAACAAGCAATGATACCCAATTTCCTGCTGCTACTCCTACTGTATTAAAGGCCTTACCCAGAGAAAATAGTCCAGAAAAAGAAATGAAAGGTGCCCAAATTACGAAGGAAAAAGTAGAATTGTCCCTATTCACTGATGGCATGACCTTGTATGTAAATATGCTAACAAATCCACCAAAAACTATTGTTACTTAACAAATTCAACAAAGATGCAAGGTAGAAGATAAACACATGCAATCCTAACAACATTAGCAATAAAGGACATGAATGGGAAGCCAAGAAAACAATTCCACTTATAATAGCAATAGAACAAAATACATACGAACAAATTTACCAAGAAGGTAAAATAATTTAAATTGAAATTTCAAAATATTGCTGAAAGAAATTCAAGAAGAACTAAGTATGGAAAATACAAATTAAGAAATATTCCTAAAAGATATCCCTTGTTCATGAATTAGAAAATATAATATTGTTGAGATGGCAATATTTCTCAAAGAAATCTATACCTTCAATGCAATCCCTACTAAAATTTAAATGGTCTTTTTTGTAGAAATGGAAAATCTGATCCTAAAATTCAAACAGCATTGCAAGAAGCCCTGAATAGCTAAAACATTCTTTGAAAGACAAGGTTGGAGGGATTACACTTCCCAATTTCAAAGCTTTGTACAAAGCAAGAAACAGTGTGATACTGGCATAAAGATAAACATATAAAGTGATAGAGTATTAGTGACAATCAAAAACTACAACCATACATCTATGGCCAATTAATTTTCAACCAGGTGTCAAGATCATTCAATGGGGAAAAATAGTCTTTTCAGAAAATGGTGCTGAGACAACTGGATAACTACACTCAAAAGAGTGAACATGGACTCCCACTTCTCACCACATATACAAATCATGTCAAAAACGAATTGACATAAATATAAGAGCTAGAAGTATAAAATTCTTAGAAGAAAACATAGATGTAAATCTTAATGATCTTGGAGTTGACTATAGATTCTTAGCTATAACATGAAAAGTATGAGCAACAAAAGAAACAAAAAACAAATCAGACCTTACCGAAATAAAAACTTGTGCATCAAGAACACTTTCAAGGGTTGGGGGAGGGTGTGGAGATGGCCCAAATAATGTATACACATGTAAGTAAATACAAAAACAATAAAATTAAATTTAAAAAAAAGAATTTAACAACACCCTCACAAAAAAGAACACTTTCAAGAAAGTGAAAGACAACCTACATAACAGAAGAAAACACTCACAAGTCAAATATCTGGCTAGAGTCTAGTTTCCAAAATATATAAATAAGTTTTATATATATATATATATATATATATATCTTACATTTCAATGACAAAAACAAGCAACCCAACTTTAAAAATGGGAAAAGTATGTGAATAGATATATCTCCAAAGATTTACAGTTGCTCAAAAAGCAGTTTAAACGATGCTCAACATCATGAATCATTAGGAAAGTACAAACAAAAACTACAATGAGAAATCCCTTTCTACCTAGCAGAATTGTTAAAACCAATAATCGAGAAAATAGCCATGTTGCAGAGAAATCAGAAACTTTGTGCACTGCTGATAGGAACGCAAAGTGGTGCAGCTGCTGAGGGAAATGGTTTGCCAATTTCTTAGAAAGTTAAACAGGATTATCATATGATCAGACAACTCCACTCTTAAGTATATATATAGGCCAAAGAATTGAAAACAGATGAACAAATACTTCTACACCAGCATTCACAGCAAAACCATTCACAAGAGCCAGAATGTGAAAACAACACATCCACCAACTGGCAAATGGAAAAATTAATTTTAGTGTATATATACATGCTATAATATATATTATACATGATATATACATGATATGCATAACATATATACATTATACATGAAGTACAATATTTTATACATATGTAATATAATATGCAATAATATGTTATTCACTAGTATGCCCTATTATATGTATTATTGTGTATATATTATTGTCTAGTATTACAGTACAAGGGAATATTATTCAGCCATAAAAGGAATGCAAGTACTGATTTGTGAATGAATCCTGAAAACATGCTAAGTGAAAGCTGACACATATGGTCACATATGATAGGATCCCATTTATATGAAATATCTAGAATAGGCAAATCTGTAGAGATTGCAGATTGGTGGTTTCCAGGGTCTAGAGGGAGGAGAAAATGGGAACAAGTACTTAAGGAGTGGGGTTTTCTTGGAGGATGCTGGAAATGTTTTGAACTTGATAAAGATGATCATTCTAGAACATTGTGAAGGTACTATTTACCACTGACTCACACACATTAAAATGGTTAATTTTATGTTACATAAATTTCACCTCAGTAAGAAAACTTACTACTAGTGAGTAGCAAGAAGCAAATGCACCCCGGTTCCTTCCAACTGCAGAAGCCACACATTTCATTGTTGTCCATGTACTGACTAATACCACCCTGATCCTTAAACTACCCTGGTTCATAGTGCAAACTGAGCCATGCAATACATTCTAAGAACAGAGCACAGAGGCACAGTATGTCACACTTCCATGGTAACAGTTGGAAATGATGCAAAAGATCCTAGTCAGGTTGTTCAATAAATGATGTAAAAAAAAAATCAAGTGCTTGCTAAATGTGTGTGTGCATGTGTGTGTTCAGGAAAAGAAAGGAGGTCAGGGTTGTGTGAAGTGTGACAGATGTACAAATACCTATGACAGTGACTTGCTGCGGATCCTACAGGAAATGAGATGGAGCAGCATTCTCTAACCTCAGGCCCTAAGGGAACTTCCTCTCTCTATAAGAAGATACCAGGTATGTGGGAGGAGACTGAGAAAGAATGTTAGTTGAGAATAAGTTGTAATGTCCCCTTCATTACCAAGACCCCCAAGGCCAACTGATTCAGAGATGATGAGACCACATGTGTACTTGCATTCTGAAACTGAGGGAACTAGGGGGGTCACAGATTCTCACAAAAGGCTCAGACAGCCTTGTGGCTGAAGATAAAGTTCAGCTGCTCAACTTTGCTCAAGATAAGTCTATTTATCAACATCTAACCAGAGACAAAGACTGTGCTCAAGCTATTTTTGTGGTGCCCGCAACCATTTTTTGCATGAGTTATGAAGGGGTTTTGGGTTGAGGTTTTTTTTTTTTCTAATAGAGCTGTGTGTATAAAAGAGCTTTGTCCTCAAGGAAGCCATTAATCAAAATATTACTGGGTTTCTCTGCTATTTAAAATGTCTCAGCTAAGCACATGTTCTCTTGAGCTTCCTCTGAATGTGGACTCCTGGTGACCTGAGTGACCATCCTGTTCCCCGTCCACACAGATGGGAACTTCTCCATCTCCTTGGCTTCATGCTTCTTCTGTCTGTAGTAAGGTCTGATTCTTTAGGGGTCTCTACCACATCTGCACATTGAGAGGATTCTAGTCTTCATTCATTACCACAATAGTGCTTTTCTAGTTCTCACTAAAACACCTGATGGTACCTTTCCACATTCATTCAGACAGCTGCCCACCTGCTGGACTGCAGACCCTTGCAAAGCAGAAAGTTCTGGCTGTTCTGGGAACACAAGGCAAGGCTAAGAAGATCACAAATGTGAGGAATTTTGCTTCTGCTCTTTTTCTCGGGTTCAAGTGGTTGACTGTGCCTCTGCTGGGCTGCTTTAGCTAACGAGAGGCACATGCTTCCTTCCAGCAAGGCATCCACAGGAGCACCACAACTTCAGTGTCTGCTTCTTGTACCAGCAAATCTCCATAGGAGATCTTTTCAATGAAGAAGATGGGTCTCCCCTAACCATCACTCCCTTAGAACTGGAGCAACACATACATCCGCCCCCCAGGAGTTAGACTACCACTGAGTCCATCCATATCCGGTTACATGCAAACCCAAATCTTTAGTTTAAGTTCAGCAGGCATCCTCAAGGACAGAGTCTGCAAACTATGGCCCATAGGACAAACCCAGCCCGTGGTCTGATTGAGTTGAGTTGAACACAACCTTTCCCGTCCGTTTGCAGGTTGTCTCTGCTGAATCGTGTTGAGTTGTGGCAGACAACATTTGGCCAACAAGTAAGCATTAGCTACTTGGCCCTCAACAGAACAAGTTTGCTAACCCTTGCACAGTATAATAAGTCTTCAGATAGAAGACAGTTATTATTTAATTTATCCTTACTTCATCCTTCTTGAGAAAAGGAAAGTTAAGACTAACAGCTCAGACACTGGTAAAATTAGCTCGATTTTCTTATTTTTGAGAACAATACCATTGAAATTATGATAAATACAATTATAGAAGCTGGCAGAGTAAAAGTACTTAAATGGCACCCATTGACTAAAAACTATGCCCGTCCTTAAACTCACAGGTTCATAGAGTATCAACCAGTCAACTAATCACAGCTCCCCTCTAGCTTTCCCTTCCTGCTAGTCTGCTTGTCGTACAGTTTTCCTGACAGCCCCTACCCTTTCTCACATTGAATTTATGAAGTGTGAATCCCACCACATCCAGCCTTTTGTCTGAGAGGGCCACTGACCTTGAGATGTAGGTGCTGCTTGCTCTGACTCTTCTTCCAGCTGTGTGTTGGTTAAGGGCTTCCTGTTTATTGTGTCCTCTCTGCTCCAGCCCCAGGGTCACTGGCCAGCTCCCTGTTGTTACGTCCCTTAGCACTGCAGGAACAGCCAAGAGCTTCCCCTGTTCTTGAGCTCTTCTTTCCACCAGACCATCTCCTCATAGTGGCTGAAGTAAAGTACTAATATTCTGTGAAGCAAGGGTTTGTGAAATCCAGAAGTCTCCCTGCTTCTGGGAGCATCTTTACTATTTCAGATACTCAGAATCATTCCTACTCATGCTTCCTCTTTTGCCTCCTTAGACTCTACAAGTTGGAAGGAAGCACTTCTCACACCCTTTCTAATCTAAATTGAAACTACCTACAAAAAAAAAAGTTCGCTTCTTTGCCTTTTCTTCCCCATTTTTTCCCTGCCAATCAAAGCACAGTATATTCAGCAGTCTCTTAAGTTCAGGAAACTTTCTTATCTCTACCCTTATCTAAACATACATGTTTCCGGTCCTATCTCTCTCTCTCTCTCTCTTTGTCTTCCATTCTCTGACAAAAAAAAAAAAAGTTTGTGACCTATTTAGCAGCTTCTGTGTTTTAGGAACACTTTAGTTTCTCAGCTGGACCAGAGGACCACAATGTTACTTGTATTTATTGCTTTGATTTACTAAGCTACAGATGTTCCCAAATGGTTAAACTACCGATTGAAGACTTGTGGCTGAGGCTTGAGTTCACGCAATTCATAGAAATACAAGAAAGGAAGGGCTGTGCCTGTCAGATGAGAAAGCACTTACCAGAATTACCTGCCCTGAATATTAATTTTGCATCAAGGAGCAGGCTGGCCTCTTCTGCTCTACCACCTGTGTGTCTGCAAGCGTGGAAGAAGACATGAGGATGTTGTCTTTTGTTTCACAAATGATTATTAAACACTCTCTTTTGGCCAGAGGTAGCTTTCTAAAACACCTATGTGACTCACTCACTCCCTTCAATGCCTCATTGTCCTAAGGGGATATTCAAACTTCCTGTCATGACTAATGGCTGCATTTTCTCTCCAGTCTCATGTCTCTTTTGCTCACCCCAACCTACATTTTAGACGCACATAATATGGTCTATTTAAGGAACATGCCTCAAGGTGAGGTCCTCAGACATGAGGTCTCTTTGCTTTGACTTCTCTTACCCCTTTCCCATCCAACCTGACTCATCTTGGACATCTCTAAAAAGATCTTCCCATGGGTTTCTCCAAGATTGTGTTAGGTACCCTTCCTGCATGTTCCCTGAACCCCGGAATATATCCTTACCGAAATATGTGTTACAGCATATTCTTATTGCCCATCTACACATCGCATTTTTATTCTAGCCTAATAAACCCCTTCAAGGTACAAAGGCTTATGCCCCTCCTCAAAACCTGGCACATGGAGGGCATACAGTCAACATTGGGTGAGTGAGGATGAACCAAAGACTTCATCTTAGGTTTCACAGCATATATTCTATGGACTAGTTACAATCCCCACTCCATCTTGTTTCTGATAAGCAGATTTTCTTTTGCCTCAACTTTTTTTTTTAACTCAGTGAATAAGACGAAACAAAGCCTACATCCAAAATACACATTGATTTTGCAAGACAAACTCAAAGACAAACTTTACTTGGACCAAGTAGTCCTCAAAATGATTCAATGGACTCTGAATTGAGCTTCAAACAGGGACTGAAATAGTCACTGTCTCCCCACTTGATTCATAATATGCTATCAGAGCCTATTGTTAAAAAGATGATATACCTACAGGGTTAGAAGTCAAAGTTTTTGTTTTCCTAGTCCCTATTCACACAATTCAAATTTGTATAGACTAGGACCTGCTCCCAAATGACTCTATCTTTCGAAATCACTCCTTAATTCTGGGTCCATGTGCAAACACAAAACACACACACCATCTTCAGCACTGTCCTCATCACCACCCTCACGATCACCTACATCACATAATAAAGTTACTGCTATTATTAAGGAAGACAGAATGAAGACAGCTTTTTTTGTTTCTCTGTAGTGACCATCCATCTAGTTTTGATAGTTTCTTCTTGGAGGATATTGTAATTTCATAATACAAAGAACCTAACAATTAGCTTTATATATAGTTGCCAAAGGAACGCAGGCACCTATCTACTAGGATGGTCTCCAGGATGCAAACTTATTCTCCGCAATGTAAAATTGCATAAAACTTATTCAGCAAGTAGAGGAATGTCAGAAGATCACATGAACAACAATGAATCAGAAACAACAGAATAACCTGAGGCAAATGAAACTGTCCCTGTATCTAGAGAAGAGTCATTCTAAATGTTCCAACCCAGATAACAAATGGAGGTGACAGAGAGGAAAGAAATGAGCAGATTCCTCCTTCCAACATCTTTAGGAACCCTTACAAAAGGCTTCCTGACAATTTAAAAGCAAAAATGCTCCTTAATATTACTTGCTTTTGGCAGCACTGGGGTTTAAACTCAAGGCCTCACGTTTGCCAGGCAGGCACTCTTAATGCTTCAGCCACTCTTCCAGCCCTTTCTTGGGATGGGTTTTTTCAAGATAGTGTCTCACAAACTATTTGCTAGGGCTAGCTTTTAACCACAATCTTCTTGATCTACTGGTGCTGGGCTTACCATTTACTGACAGAGCTAGGAAACAGCAAAAATCATTACCATACTGGTTGGAACATCACATGAATTGCTTTCTGCCTTTTTTTCTCTAAGTTTACAGGGCACCAAGTCATTGTTCTAACACAGTGTAAAGAAAGGTAAAGAATCAAGTATTTATTCTGCCTTTCCCATGCAAATCACTTGCAGAGCAGCCCAAATTCTATTAAAACAGTAGATCAAAGACAACTCTTAATAGAAGCTAAACCATTGAGTAAAAGGTGAACAGAGGACTTTATAATGAGAGGCGGTGCCAATCTGCAATACCCAAGCCCTCCGATCAACCAGAACCTCCCTAATCATAGGACAAGCAGAAACGGGGGGGCTTCTAAAGTGGTGCAACAGGAAGAAAGCGGTACCATTGTAAGTGATCCCCCAGAGAGGTTGGGCCTCAATCCAGGCAAACCTGCAGAAGTAGCTAGCACTGTTGAGAGAATGCAGGCACTAGACCACCGAGCCGAAGGGCACCATGAGGCAGGGATGGACTGAACAGAAGAAAGCAAGAGGTACTCTGTAACAAATGTCCCAGGTTCTTTAATAAGCAAATGTCAATATGATTAGCATAGGAAAATATCACTTAATCCAGCAAATTTCAAAAAGACACTTGATAATTTTAAATATCTTTTCCTGATTAAAACTCAGGAATTCTTTAGCATGATAAAGAAAATGGTCAGAAACTAAAAGTACACTTGATGATGAGAGGCTACAAGAATCTCCATCAAATTCGTAAATAAGACAAGAAGGGCCAGGTGCCAGTGACCACTCCTGTAATCCTAACTACTTGGGAGATCAGGAGGATCAAGGTTTGAGGCCAGCCTGGGCAAATAATTTGCAAGACCCATCTCCAAAATAACCAGAGCAAAATGGACTGGAGGTGTGGCTCAAGCAGAAAAGCACCTGTTTTTCAAGCACAAAGGCCAGAGTTCAAACCCCAGTTCCATACACACAAAAAAGACAAGGATGACCACAACTGCTGCCAACTTTTATAGGACTCAATAGCTTTATTTTATGTCATATTCAAAAGAGGGACAAAAATTGCACATATATATGCATATAAAGTCATGAACAGTGAGTGTGTGTGTGTGTGTGTGTGTGTGTGTGTGTGTGTGTGAGAATATATAGAGATGCACCTCAAGGTTTTATAAAAAAGAAATTTGTGAACTCTCTCAAAGGAAATAAATGTAGTCATGAACAATGGAAATATGTGCTATGTTGCCTTATGCAAATACCCACTTTTGAAACACATCATATATATATAATTTATCTGAAATTTTACAATTGCTTATGTTTTCGAGCTGGTCAGGCTGCAAAAACCCTTCCTGAAGCTCTGCTGACTATATGCTGCACGTGGTGGCAGTCAGAACACTCATCCTTCGTCCTAGTGAGAATTGTGTCTGTGAATGCTCACATACGGAAAATGTCCTTAATTATAAAAACCCTGTTTACATGCATAAGAATAGCAAAGCACATTTTTAGAAAGAAGAAAAGTGGAGTGGGGTATCTTGGCACTATCAGTTATCAAAATGTATCTTAAAGCTGCAATATTAAGGTTTATGTCTGTGAGAATCAAGAGTTCAGAAGCAAGCTAAGGAATTACAAGTTTTCAGTATATGGTAAGAGTGACATTTCAATCAGATCCTATAGCTCATAGTATTAGAGAAATTGACTTGCCATTTGGAAAAGTGTAGGCCAGCTCCTACCCTTGCCAACACTGACATATGCCATTCCTTGGGCAGTACAACCTCTACATCGTGGGGCCAGACACCATCTCCAGCAGCCACACTTATAGCACAGGACACAGGCGCCACTTAATATATTTCTTCACTCAGAATTTGAATCAGAAGCTTCATGATTTAAAGCAGGGAAGAAGCAATGCACCTTCCATCTGTCCTCCTGGCAGAGGGCTGGAGAGGCTGCAGCTCCATTTGAGCCTCTGCACACATTCTGCCAGCAGCAGCAGCAGAGCACCATCCCATGCAGGCAATGGCAGACAGCAGTGTCTGCACCGAGCCGCAGTGGGGTTCATGGTCTCTTCAAGCCCACTGGGGCAGTACTGGAGACACTGGTGCATGGAAAGAGCTTCTGCTTCCACACTGCCCATTTATTCTCTGACTTATTCCATATGCTGTATCCTTTTTTAAGGAAACCATGTTACTGAGGTCTGACTAACATATAAAATGTTGCATATACTTATTGAATTTGGAGGTAAGTATAATCAACATGAAAACAGGACTAACTCAAGGTCATAACCTTCAAGAATTTCTCTTTTTTTACATTTAAATGTTTTAAATTTTAATTTATTTCTATTTTGGATGGTAAGACCATATAATA